TTCGATTACCATGAATAGAAATAAGGACTGAATTATCATTTAAATTAAGATGAAGTTTTTGTTGATTGAAGACACTTATCAATGAAATAATATCTACAGAACCATACCAATCATTTGATTGTGTTGGTGAGCCAACTGCTAACCAACATTTATCGCTTCGAATAGAAAAACTTTGTCCAAAATGTGCATGATTTTCTACACTTGTCAATGTTAATATAAGACGTGGTTGAGTTTCAATAGCATAGAAATATAATTTTCCTTGATTAGCTGGTGCACTAATTAAAAGAACTGGAGATGATGTTATATGACTAATACATGATGAAGGAATTATTTGAAGTGAATAACCAAATTTTGATTTTGGATATTCACCATAAATGGTAAATGATGCATTATTAATTGTTAATTGTCGATCAGATATTTGTTTTTTATTTATAAAATCTGAACTAAGAAAAATCCAAACAGCTCCTTGTTGTGGTTGATCATAACCATGTGGTTGAGCATAAGGACTTGTAATAATTAAATCTAATAATTTATCATTATCAAGATGTCCTGTATGTAATTCAAATCCAATAGTATCATGTTCATTAACACCATCAATACGTATAAATGGTTTTATTTCAAGACCATCTTTACTACCAGCAAAAATAAATACAGCACCACGATAACCATAACCATGTGATGGACTACTAATAACAAGATCATTAAAACTATCATTATTCCAATCAAGAGTAGCTAAGCTAGTACCAAATCGATCACCATCACAATCAGGTGATATTAATGTTTGATCAGCTATTTGTTCAATAATACTGATATTACGTTCAGGAATAAGAGGTTGATCTTTTTTTCCATAAATAATAAAAACACGACCACCTTGTGAACAACCAAGATTATAATAATCAGGTGCAGATATAACTAAATCAATTAAATCATCATTATTAAAATCACCAAAAAGTGTTGTATGACCGAATGATGCATAACTTTGATTTGATATAACACCTGCATGAATTTCATCATATTGTAATGTTGGTAATGATGAAGAAGACTGACTCGAAAATGGAAGATAATTTGATGGTTTTGAACGAATATATGTTATTGATTGCTGTTGTTGTTTATATATAGTTGAATAAGATATTGAACAATTTAAATAATATGGATTATTACTTGGTATTTGACATATATCAGTACCTTTTTCATACATAGCTATAATTTGATCCCAATATCGAACTGTTTGATGAGCCATATTTAATAAACCTCCATGATAATATTCATAGAGACGATCAAGTAAAAATGTATCATTATGAGAATATTTTGGATATTCAATACCAAGAAATAAAGCATCAGCAAATCGTCCAACAAACATTAAATCCGAACATATTTGAACACGTTCAGCTGTTGCATTTGTTTCTAATGGTGAATCATATTCAATAGCATATCTGTCATAAATTTCTTGTAGTTCAATACTTGGCACATACCATTTATTAGTTAAACCTATAGAATAAATAAAATAACAAACAAAAAAAAACACAAAATTTTACCGATATAAGCAATTGGTAATTCATAATCAATAACACTATCACCACCAGGATCAACACTTGAATGTGCCATGTCTTTATCTCCATTGTAACTTTCCCAAGCTGTTGCATCAATAAATCCATTTGGACAACCCGTTAAACTACCATGCCATACAGCATCAGCTATTTGATGAGATGCTATACCAAGAAGAAATGCAAGGAATTTTTGTCCTTGAATATTATCTACTTGTAAAGGTGGTGGATATCGATCACGCATATATTCAATAGCAATTTTCATAAATGGATACCTAAAGAAATTATTTAGAATATAAGAAAAAAAAAGAATTAAATCTTATGATTTTTTTTTTAAATTACCAATGTGTATCTTCAGCAACTTGATGTAAAGTACCATGATAACATACACTATCATACATAACATCAGGATATGGTGATCCACCTTGTAATGCATCTTGATGTTGAAGAATATAATTTCGATAGATAGGTTGATGTAACCAAAGATCTTGTGCACGATGTGAGACTTCGATATGTGTTGTAATACCACATCCGAAGACAATAAATGGTAATGAAAAAACAAAGAAGATGATACTTGTTAACATGACCGTGTTTGTCGAATAAATGTCGTCTGTTGTATTTCACAAATACTGGTTTTATTCTAATAATATTTTGAAGAATATCAACAGGTGATAAAGATTCCCATGAATCGTCAACTATATTTGACCATATCTGCTTTAAAGAAACCCTAGTATATATAATAGAATAGTACATTACAGAGATATGTTGTTTGCAATACGTACACCAGAATTCAAATGATGAATTAAGGATAGGTTTTTTTTTCTTTCTTTCCTGTTCACGAACACATTTGCTGATCGATAGAACCAGTTATAAAACAGTAATGATTGATGTCAGGCGTTGACATTTTTCATCAGAAATCATCATACCTCAAAGATTGCTTTAAGAAAAATTGAACGAAATAAGACTGTGGATTGATGTCATATGTTCATGGTGGTATCATTTTTCTGTATGATTTCTGAATGCTTGATATTTTTTAAAATATTGATAGTATTTTTTTGAGGAAATATTCCATTTCAAAGCTTTACATACTCAATTGATTGTTGTCTAAATTTATATAACAAATAAACGAATCGATTTAGCTCTAATACTTGAAAACTGAGAGAACATATAATATTTCATTGAAATCAGAAGATGCTATTTCAAATTACAGGAAAATAAGTGTAAGTTTATGAAGTTTAGAACAGTTTCCTATGAAACAAACACGATCCATAGATAGTCAATTTAGAATATGACAGCATATCACAGAAAAATCAATCAAATATTGAATTAAATCTTGAGTCATTATCTTCAACTGATGACCGTATTACTAAATCAACAATTTGTGTAAAGATAATATCTTCAGACAATGGATTTTGGTTTTGGTTGGCATTGATGAGCAAATATTATATATCAATATGATTGAGTTCGCTCTAAATGCAAGCAATATTTCATCGTATGGACCAAGGATATTAATTGTGACTGGTTCATTTTCATGAGAAATACTGTGAATTACCATCTATTTACATACACATGTGTACTGTTTCTTTACCATACCTAACGTTGTCAATAAAGACAACGTTAGAAGAATAAATGTTATGCTCTTTGATTATAAAACAAGTTTGTTCATCAGTAAATACTGATGTTTTGTCAGGTATAGAATTATCAATAACAATTGAGTCTATGCAATCATATCACGATGTATAGAGATATTTCAGTAGCAATCGATCTCTTCAAGACAGCAAATATTAATTTATTTGGAAAATTATTCGAAAAAAATATTGATAAAAAAAAGGAACACAACTTTCGCAGCATCGGCGTTATTGGTTTAAAGTCAGTTATTTATAGTCGTAACGAAATTGTTTCACCATCAGAATGTCACTCTTGCCGTGCTCTATTTCATACTATGGAACACGACGTCTGAGATAACAAAATACAACGATGAACCAAGTCGCTACATCATTGTAGTCTCTCCTTTATATGAAACGATTTTGCAACATAATAAGAGTGATTGAAGCTACATTGAAATCTGATATGAGATTGCTCTTTAATCTTTCTCACACTCCGATGATGAAAATCATCGATAATCAAAGCTCAATATTAGCATTGTAATCACTAATGAGACCTATGAGTAAGACCAAAAAATCGTCGAGAATTTTCTCCATCTACTTGATCTCAGATCCTCAAAACAAAATCAATTAAATTAAAAACGCGGGAAAACGCATCGAAAATTGATTAAATCATTTGTTATTAGTAAGCTCCATACGTAATACAGACGAGCAGCGGTATAAGCTATCGTGGAGATGAATATGGGTGTTGATAAAGACAGCTTTTTTTGATGACCAGTTCGAATCAATATTTCAATATTAGTTGATGAGATTCGTCGATAATTTTTTCGCATTTGACATTGGCTCGAATTCGATATTGGATTATACATCAGTTAAAAGACCAGTCCATTTGGTACAGTTATGGCAAAAGTATTCAAGTTTTTCTTCGGTAGAGTGGCTTTTGCATCAGCCAGTATTCTTGATCCTCTTTGCATCTATTTGATCATGCATTGATTGAAGGATGCTAAAACACGTTCGTCAGGGGTCCGAGTCATTTGGCCGACAATCACTTGGCCGACACATCACTTGACCGACACCATTTCGCCGACAAATTGTTTGGCCGACATGTACACTTCACCGACAACTCATTTGGCCGACAAATATTTCAAGTAAAATAAAATGAAATTTCTTGAAAATATTGCGTCAGAAAATCTTTTTATCAAAAGTTACACTTATTTACAATGAAAGATTATGGGCAATGCCCCGAAGAAAATCGAACTTATCTCACGGGAAACAGTTTGTTAGCGGGAGACTTGTTTTAACTGATAAAAAATCGTCGTCTGATTTTATTTTGAAAAATGTTCACTATTTACAGGTGAATGAGTGGGAAAAATCCACGCAATATTTTCAAGAAATTTCAATTTTTTTGATCTCAAATATTTGTCGGCGAAGTGTACATGTCGGCCAAACAATTTGTCGGCGAAGTGGTGTCGGCCAAGTGATTGTCGGCCAAGTGAACGCGACCCGTTCGTCAGAATTATTTGATCAGTATTCTATATCTTCCATTCATATCTTCTATATACAATGTTCAAATATGAGCTGATGGTGAAAGACAGATTATTTTGAATCATTAACAGCAACAAAGAGCGTTAATATTTTTTCAATACGTGAACTAAAAGCGAAGTGCAAGGTTTCATAGAACAAAATATTTGAAATACGTTGATTATTAGCAATGAATATCAGCACGATCTAGTGAAAAATAGGAACACAAGTATATATCCGTTTACACGATGCAGCCGGTAGTCACTCTCGAGTCTTTGGTGTAGTAAAGAATGAAGAGCAATAATATTTTGCCAGCATGGAATCTCAACAATTATGAATTTGCATCGATGTCGAATCTTTGTACTCGATGATTGCCCCAATCAACTACATAGAGATTGCCGTATCGATCAAATGATAAACCTGCAGGACGAATGACCTGATTTGCTTGTTCTCCTTCCCCGTTGCCACAGACAAGTATATTTCCATGTGTGGCTCCTTTGGGCCAACACATGATTCGATGATTGTCACAGTCTGCTACATACACAGTGTCCCATTGATCTACGATAACTCCTCGAGCATCTGATAATTGTGTTAAATCATTACCACGGCCTCTTCCACCAGCCACAACAATCCCCTCCCTTGCGCCCTCCAACCATTTCATCACACGATGATTTTCACTATCTGATACATATACTGTGCGATAATAATCCACGAATACATAAAGTGGAGAATTCAACTGATCGAGATGTTCGCCTCGTCCATTACCACCTGCAACCACTGTCCCATGAGTCTCTCCAATTCGCCACCGTCTTACTTCACACTTATGGTGGTCGCAGACATACAGAGATCCATCATGGTCCATCGTCACACCCCAACAATCGATATTTGATATAATTGTTTCTCCACTGAGACCACCTTGACGTGGCCATCGTACCACTCGTCGGTTCGTTTTGTCACAAATGATGAGACTATCGCTTGCTTTATCGATAATCACATCGGATGGTGAACTCATTTGGTCGGCGCGACTTCCTTGACCATTTCCACCAGCAATCACCTTTCCATTAGTCGCACCATACTTCCATTCCATAATACGATGATTATTGTAGTCAGCAATATAAGCAGTCTGATCATTAGCAATGTACAAACCTTCTGAACCCAAGAGCTGATTGAGTTCATTACCTCCTCCATTTCCACCAGCCACCGTGATACCGTTTTGAGCCCATCTAGCATTGATGAGAATGTTTGTAGTACGTAGCGGTGACACTACAATAAAAGAAAAATTCATTGTGAAAATAAGATATTCTCAGATGGCTTAGCTATTGATGTCGCTGAAGCGGTGTTTGACTTTATGCAGTGTTTAAAAAAATTGAAATCTAATGTGAAAAAAAATGATTATTCTCTCAAAGAAGCACGGTTTTCTTTTAAGAAATTGATGTTTCCCATCTCTGCTGATATCTTTCATATCTTCTGATTTTCCAATATATGAGTCAAAAGTTTAGTATCTTGTTCAATACTTTATATCACATTAACGAGTCAACAAAACAGCTAGAACTGAACCAGAAAACTATCGTTGACAGGTCTTTATGCTCATGTTCTAGTTCAAATAAAATCCACTGAGTCATTGAAGTTTCACTTCAAAAAATAATTTATTACTTTCACAGAGTCGTTCGTCTGATTGATCTTACCGATAACTCGTATATCTAGTTCAAAAGTTCAATGTCTCAATGAATTCAAACTAATACAAAGATAAAATAGTATCCGACATTAAAATAATGCTGTGCATTGACAACGGATTAGGATTAACCATTGCCTAACACATGTTTCAAACCATACTATATTACAAAATTCATTCAGAAATCCCAACGAGCAGTCATGCGCGCAAATACTGCGAAGGGAACCACTCGTTAATGCTTGAAAATTGTAACTATTTTTGCTTACCGGAGAAAAAAACTTCGAGACTTTAGCTTGAAGTTTGCTTAAAGCTTTCGTTTGTTCTCATCCCACTCCCCTCCCCAAAAAAAAAATTTCAATTATCATTAGCTACCACTAAGTTTCAGTGGCGAGTCCCCAAAATACTTCTTGCTGCACTCTTCCACCCCTAGTGCTTTCTCAGACCTTACTTATACCTTTGTGATAATTACACTCAATTCTCATTTTAATCAGTATGCATGAAAAACTTGAAAAAAACACAAACTACATATCATAATTCAATATGTACATCTTTCATACATGAGCATTCATTAAATCTAGAGTTGTAATTTGTATGGATTTTTTTGGAACAAAACCTGTAGATGTCCGCTCACCTATCAATCGATCTGATAAGTCAGCTGCATTTTGATTACCTATGAACTTGTGATGTTGGTTTTCGATCTTCAATTCAATTATTTGGAATTTTTGTTGTTGACATTGTTCTTGAAGTGCTTGATTCTCATTCATTAGTCCTTGCAGTATGGGTCTCAGTTGTTCAAAAGTACATGTAGATAGATGATTACTAAGTTGGCCACGCTCCCCATTCCACGGACACTTGATATCTGCTGCCGAACAGATCACAGGAACCTTCAAACATTGGTTATTGATATGAAAATCAAAATCTCCCCGCTGTAGATTTATCTCTTCACAAAGTATGCACTTGACACGAAGCTGATTGATCATAGTAAGCAATGGCATCGGAGTGTCTGTAATGTTGTCCATGTGGAGGACATGACGGCATGTTGGACATGATGTCTGATGATCTGTAATCCATCGAGTAATACACTGATGACAAAATGTGTGCTTACAACATGAAACGAATTTCGGATGATCAAATGGTTTACAACATATGATACATATTAGTTCGGGATCGATAGACTCCTCATCGATGTACTCGTATTGGTTTTTATTCATCATTCAATTCAAACAAGATATTATCTAGAAAGACATTTTTTACTATCATAAAAGCATGCATACGGTCGAAGACCAGACAACTTTGCTTTAGAGAAAATTATTTACTGTGAAAATCGTGGCTCAGGCACTATTATCTGCTACAGAAAAAAAACAAGCATTACCAATCTAGAACTCTATAATATGGTTTAATAAGATGTCACATTTTTCTTAACTTTTCTATTGTATGCTATTTATAGCTAACTCTGTGAAACAAGCATGGATCATCCCATAATTAAAAATATATATATTCATATTATGCTTACTAGCTGAAGTGACTATGACTAAATAGTATCAGAGACAAAAATTGGATGAAAAACAATAAACAAAATACAAAAAGGTATAGATACAGATAAAAAGATTGTTAGTAGAGGTATTTTTTTTTTGGAATAGACATTCACACAACGCCTAAAATAAAAATGTTTTTATCGGTACTCACTCTTCTTTCATTCGTACTAACCCTATTCACTGAGTGATTAAAAACTCTAATGAACTAAAATTTTATATTATCAACAGTTTTAAAAGTCTCATATTGTTATAATCAAAAGTATAATTTGTTCTTTATGATGCAACAATATCATGCAAGTGCGAAGCATGATCAGACTTCTAAAAAAAAAGGAAAGTACTAAAATTTCTCGAATCTCGTTGCTTTCAAAGGCATATACAGCAACACTAAGCAGCAATTTAAAGCAATAAAGAAGTTCTATGAAGATATGTCTAGAATTCTAGAAACTTCTAACAAAGTGTATTTTTTTGAAATAGAAACATTATTGATACGTACTATATTCAGAGATGTTATATTGAAGTAAGTATGCAAAACCCATGCAATTCTATCATTTGCTGACAACTGGAAAAATCCTCATATGACTACGCGGACTTTTTCAAGACATCAAATGACATATGTAACATGTGTCATGATGAAAAATATCATAAACCTGTTGTCTATACATTTTTTCCACCAATGATTAATGTAATTGCCTCACATTTCTTCCCATACAAAAAAACTTGATTCATTGTTCGATCAATATGTTTACAAACATCATAGTTTTTTTTTCAATGAGTAATTCATGATTTCCCTATCGATTAGTTTTAATTAAATTGATGTTTTTTATTCAATTTATTTTTAAATTTAGTGACATTTTATCAATGTCTATGTTTTCATCAGATTATATGTAAAACTTACACACACAATTTTGACGCATACACATGCATTATTTTTGCTTTTTTTTACAGTTTATCTACAATGGAGAGAACAAGGCAGAAAATGCTGGACGGAGGAGTTCTCTTGAGGATTGCTTCATTTGTGTTACTGCATATAAACTGTAAAGAAAGACGAAAAAGTAAAAGCAAATAATGCATGAATATGTATCAATATTGTGTGTGTAAATTACATAAACTGGTGGCCAAAAGTACCGCTAGCAGATGAAAACGATTTAAACTTTAACCATTTAAATTCATATGTTTAGCATCAATACAACTCACTGAACTCTGATCTCGATTGGTTGATGTTTACTGGAGTTATTATCTCAACAGTATCATCACCTTTTGAAGAGCGTTTCTTAACAATTTTTCGACATACGATGTTGCCCGATCCCTCATTCGAAAGTCCCAACACTTGAATTATCTACGATAAAAATTTTATAAAAACTTACTTTTAACTAATGAAGATATGATCTTCGTAATGAAAATGTGGGACAAATGGTTAGTCTTAGTGTTGAATCTAATGTTAATAACTCGACTTAACCTTGATAGATTCACTTGAAAATTCTAGTGATGACTTCTTATTAGTTTAGTAGTTGATGATGAAATTTTGAGAATCATAGCTCAAAGAAAAGCAGAGATAGGACTATCAGAAGAGCTCATTATGTCACAGATTGTCAATCATTGAAATCTCGATATTATAAGTTAGACTTTTGCCTCAGTAAACTAGAGATAAGGAACTCTAGTTAGCACTAAAAAATCGTAAATAACCTATAATATTGTACAACGACAAGTGAAAATTTTCCAACGTTGTATCTTTGCTCAATTATGTTCAGTTCATTAAAGGAACTATCAGCAGTACTCGCATGCATAAAAAACTGTCGTACACTCATCAATGGAGATTTAGCATTGAGGAAACACGTTTTTTTAAGTTCGAGCAGTTCAGTCCTAGTATCCATGCGTCTAACCCTCTAACATGAAAATGCTATAAGCTGAAGAAATCGGTGCTTGATGTAAAACCATCGTTACATGACGCCTCTTCTTCACTTACAACTATTCACAGTTCCTTCAATAAATAGAACATTGTTGAACAGATATGCAGTGACAGAAATTGTTACTTGTCGTAGTATGATATTATAGGTTATTTACATTGTTTCTAGTGCTAACTACAGCTCCCCATCTCTAGTTTGCTGAGTCAAAAGTCCAACTTATAATATCGAGATTTCAATGATTGGCAATCTGTGACATAATGAGCTCTTCTGATAACCATATTTCTGCTCTTCTTTGAACTGTGATTCTAAAATTTTATCATCAACTACTAAACCAATAAGAAGTCATCACTGAAATTTTCAAAAGAATCCATCAAGGTTATGCCGAGTTATTAAAATCAGATTCAAGACTAAGATTAACTGCCTACCCCGCATTTTCATTGCAAAGATTATATCTTCATTAGTTTAAACTAACTTTTTATAAAATTTTTATCGCAGATAATTCAAGTGTTGGACTTTCGCGTGAAGGATTATACGAAATCGAACGTCGAAAAATCGTTAAGATACGCTCTTCGAGAGGTAACGATACTGTTGAGATAATCACTCCAGTAAACGTCAACCAATCGAGATCAGGATTCAGTGAATTCTGTTGATGCTACAAGTATGAACCCAAATGATTAAGGTGTAAATAGTTTTCATCTGATAGCGGTACTTTTGGCTACTAGTTTGTGATTTTTAAACAAGAAATTATTGAGCTAGACTTTAGGGTAAGAGGCTGTAATAGTGTGCATATCGCTTCTTGAGATTTTTTGTCAACGTTGTATTTCGGTTATTAACTCGGAAAAATTAACTAAAAAACAACTTATATGAATAATAAGTACTATACCTGGTTAATCACGAAAGGAATGTAAATCCGAAGACATTGAATGTTGATCTTGTTCGAATATTTTATTTATCCGTTAAAAAATGAATGTTTCATCACAAAGAATATTTGTCGTAACGCGATCTTTCATTTGCTATAAGAAAGTAAGAATCCCAGTAGAAATAGTTCTGCGATCGATTTGCGAACTTACAATCTTTCGTCTTTTTAATCTGTATTTTTAGTATGTCATCGATTAAATCAAATATTAAAAAAAACAAAGAGAATAGCATCATCGCCAACAAAAAGAAACTAGAGATTAAAAAAATTAAGAAAAATAAAACAATCGCATATATTTCTCTCGCTTATCGCTGGATACATCAAATACGAGTTTCACAAAATATATACAGAAGAGACAAACATAGGCACACGCCGTTATCACAAAAACGAGAGCCCAAAACAATCAGAGCATGATTTATTTTTCTCTGAAACAAACTGAATTAATAATATAAATATGAAGAGGGTATTTCATGTCCGCACGCAGAACAGAAAAACATTGAAGCAATCAATCCATAATTCAAATTTGGATGTTTACAATGTGGACATTCAACTGAACGGCGAATTTTCGTTTTCGGTACTGGTGATGAAGCAGGAACATAACGAGTATTATCTCCAGTTAAATATACATTTGTGGATCGGGGTCGAATATACGATCGATCACGAACATCATAATGCGGAGTACGACGCTGCAATTCAGAATCGCAATCGGAACAAATACGTATAGATTTCGCATCTCTAAACGGGCGATGACAAATGAGGCATTTGTCAAGTGAATCTCTTGGTTCTTCAGAAATGAATAAAGTCGAATCGTTCGATGATACACGAGGTGTTGCATATTGAACAGGAATTTCAATAACTTTAGGTTGTCGTTGTTCTAAAATAACAATTGAATCGAAACAGAAAATTAATTTTCTTGTAAGTACTTAAATCAGAAAACTTCACTTTCTCGTTTTTTTTTTAAATAGTTTTATAAGACAACAAGTCAAAGAAAGATAAAAACCATCACAAATATATAAGAAATACCTCGTTTTTTTTTGTTTTTGAAGACTGGTAATATACAACTGTTGATTTATTAAAAAGGAAAATATTTATACGTGTGGGTGTCCAAGAGTAGTTTTTGTAATGAGGCCAAACATTGAGTAGAAATAGAAATAATTTGAATAACGTTTGCATATAGGAAAAAGAGAAAGAGTATAGATCAACGAGAGTAAATAGAAGAGAAAATCGATAAGTGGCTCTTTAGTTTCTATTATAATTACCGACACTTCTAGATCGTAAACATATGAAAATTATTCAACGATACAGAACTCCGAATGAATTTAATAAACAGGCTTTGAAACTACGACTGAGAAAAGAAATTAAATGCATTTATCTAAAGAAGACTATCTTGGCTAAAAATTACCTCGATTAAATTTGTATTCATCCTCTCCTGTCTTGAAACTAACAGGATTGCGCTGTTTATCATTATTGTTTAAATTGCTAATATTATTCAAATCATTTTTTGAATTTAATTGTTTGAATTGTTCCGTATCAGTATAGTTGATATCTCGATCTGTTTGTGCTACTTTTCTATGTTCGAATACTCTTGGTGATTGTTGAGGTTGATTTGAAGAATTTTTAATATAAACAGCACCATTAGATGGTATATATGGTTGATTAGTGTATGTACCATTGTATGAGTATATTTGATCATCATAATTATTATTTTGATTGCGCAATTGACTCTCATTAAGAGTAGTATTCGATCGTGCCGACATCGGTGTAGATGATGAAGATAGGGTTGGGTCTTGTTTAATTATTGATCGACCTCTAGTATCATAAGATATATGACGATTCACATAATCATCTAGTTCACGTTGTCTCTCACGTTCTCGTTCTTCTGCTATTGCTTTCGGTTTTTGTACTTGAAAGAAATCGATCACATATTTCTGATATATATGAAAAAAATTGTCTTTCAATGAGAAATGTTTACCACCCAATGTTACACATAAAATAGATAATGGTGAAGACTTTTCATCAAAGCTATATTCTACTTTTTGAATTCGTAAATAATCACGAAGTAAATTATTCGAATATTCAATATTATCATCATCACCTAAAAATCGAATAGGTAATGAAATATTATTATATGCATGTTCAATTGATAGATAAAGTGGAAGACGATTATCCAATGTTTTTCCAACACTAGCATTCGTAGTTTGTAATGGACAAAAATGAGATCGATCATAAGCTAATACAATAGGTTCAATAATACATTCATCTGGTGTTGAAAGAATAGGTAAATAAATTCCGAAGAGATCATTAACTGAAATAGCTTCACCATTTTTATTTCGAATAACATCTTCAGATAGAACAATAATCGGTCGATGAAGCATATTTGAAATAGAAAATATATGTATAGCTTCAAGAAACTCTAATTGAGTTGCTATTTGTCCATCTTTAGAATTTTCATAACGAACAAGATCACATACTTCATTCCATTCCTAAAGAAAGCTGTGTAATATGAATTTATATGTTTTCTTTTTTAATCTTACCTCATCGAGCTTCGAATCTTCTGAGCTTATACCATAGGCTTTATCGGATTTAAGTCGTTCTTTTTTCCAATAATTTTTCAATACGTCTTTATTTTCAGTCATAAATTGTACAAGTCGATCACGGAAGTAAAGATCCAAATCATGTATGCCAACCATAGCAATAAGTACAGCATGTAGAAGACAATTACCATTACCTATGAGAAAAGAAATATACATATTCAAATAAATTTCAAACAAAAAATTTCTTTTACCTGATGTTCGAATTGGATAGAGCATTTTCAATGAAGGAATCCAATTGATTACATGAGCATCATTCATCGTTCTAAACATTATTCGATCAATTAAATATCGTTGAATATCATAATTATCATTTTTTTCAAGAAATATATGTGGTATAACACTTGTATATTTTACAACATCCGTAAGTTGTTCAATAAGAGCATGATTAATATATTCCACTAGTTCAGCAGCTTCTTCTTTAATTGTTTGTGGAATAGGTAAAACATCTTTAGGTGGTGTTGAAGTTGATGAATTTGATTTTGGACCACAACAATAATTTTGAAATGTTGTATAATAATGAGGACGAAGTGTATCAGATGGTTTCGTAGAAGGATTAGTATTATCGTTAGAATTCACAACATTGGATGTACTATTTATTTGAGCCATTGTAATACAAATCAAATAAATAGTAAGCCAAACTATTAGATGATGGTATAGAATAAATCTGAAATAAAAACCAATGATTCATCACTTAGGTATGTCAACGAAGAATGTAATAGACGTAAATAGAAAGAAAAAAGAAAAAAGATAACGTTTGCATAGAAAATGCAACAATTGAAAGATAGAACAAATGTCAGATATTTAAATAAACAATACTTGTCTTTTTATTTTTTTTTTCCAAATTTTTTCAATATGACAATGATTTATTCATTGTGATACAAGTAAAGGTTAAACCTATAACATCAATTTGTCAAGCTGATGAAAGATTTTTCTTATCAGCAATAAGAGATGAATCTCTGTTGTGGTAGGAAATAGGAACTGTAGGTGGATGTATTAGAGCTGAGAAAGAAAATATTATTGTATAGAATCGTATAGTTAATCATTAGTCTAAAAAGCTTATATGAAGAATATTATGACCATTCATACCGATATACGTTGACTGTTTTTTTCTACATCGACCAAAAAAAAATACTTGTTGGTAATCTCGTTTCGTTTCTTTTCTTTAGTTTTTTTTTTGCAATAAAGAAAAACAACAAAAACATCAGCACTGATTTTTTTTTCTTCCTTTCCTTTTCTGTTTTCGGCGGCAATGTAAAAGATCTTACTGTATGCAAGAAACAGGTGCTATTTATATATATTTGTGCTGCGCTATTAATAAGATGTTGTCGACGATTTTAATTGTCATCACACTTCGATACTAACTCGATATTTGAAAAAAACAAGAGTCCCATATAACATTATTGTCAAACATCAAGTGTCTGCTGACATCTCAATAGAATGTCGTTGAAAAAAAAGATAAAAATGCATATATATGACTAAACATCTTGCTCATAGAACAACTCAACGCTATAGAATGATATTTCACAATAGTCAAAGACTATTTTAATTATTTCTTGCTACTAGATAATTTTATAATAGAAGATAAGATTCATTTTGATGAAAACAACAATAAAATGATAATATATGATTAATAGGTTAGCTTTGGCTATATTCATATATATCAATGTGAATTTAGTAATTATTTTTTGACCATACTATCAAGGCAATCAAAACACATACCGAAGTTATTTTTTTTTCATTACAGAAAACATTGAGATAGACAATAATTTACGATAAATATTACCAAAAAAATATGATATTAGTGCATAGTATATTATTTAACACACCTGTGTATACTCACACTTGTATCAGATATGAACAACTTACTTGTAGATATTTCTTATTTTATTCATCCATTCTTTATCCCCACACACGTGTTTTTTTATATATATCTCTTTCTACCTACATGCCGATATTAACATCAAACAAAAAACTATTCAAGCGAAACGAGTCAAAAAAAAGATATCGCAAAAACATAAATGTACATAAACTCGGTGATTTTTCCTTTTTAATCACCTCAAATTACTACAATTAAATGGCCAGCAAACAAATATTATCATCAATTAGAAAAAATCAAAACTTATGTGAAATATCTAATGAATATCCTTCATTGATACGATGTGTTACTCCTCGTCATCTATGTACATGTGTCAAACAGAAAATTTCTGGTAAAACTCATATAGATGAATTATCGAACAAAGAAATAGATCAACATAGTAAACAAAATGAAAAAGATTCAAAAGAAAATTCAAAAAATGCCAAAGAACAAATAGAATCAATTGAATTATTTCAACAAGAAGAAATAAATGATAAACTATATAAAAAACGTCGATATCAATTAAGAAGAACAAAGGATTATGATGATGACAAAGAAAAAGACAATACAAATGAATAATTTGATTTATTTATTTTCATTAAAAAAAAACAAAAGTATTATTTTTTAACAATATTACGTTTTATTTCTCGAATACCTAATGTTGCATTTGGTACTAATCCACATTGTTCAAGTGTTTGATTTTCATCTGTAAAAAATAATTTTGTACCCATAGCAAATAAATCAAAATCAAATAATAGTTTTCTAAGAAATATAAAAAAGTAAAAAAATATTATTTTTATTTTTGAACATAAGAAAATCATCAATTACTTTTTCTTTGTAATAATTTGTTTAACATCTTTTATTGTACATGTTGTTTTCATTTTTATTACATATGTTTGTTGACCATCATGAGAACGTATACGAAGTGTACTGAATGGTTTATTATTATCAATATCAGTTTTACATTCACTTATGACACTTAAATAAATCAAATGATAAATTTCAAAGTATAAACAAAATAAAAAATACCTTTCACATCGTGATGTTGATTCTTGTTTACCCTTTCAAAAGTAAAATATAATTTATTATATATTTGACTTCAAAATAATCATCTTTGTATACGGATTCTGTTAAAAAGTTTTTTTATTTATTATTTTTGAACATACAAAATATTTCATCAATCTTCAGGAATAATAAAATTAATTCATATGCAAATAGAAAATAAATCCTAACAGAACGTTTTTTTTTCTTTATGAGTCTAAATTACTGAACAATTCTATATCAAATATAACGAAGTAAAATTTAATAATTATTAATTTTATTCGTTTACTCAGCACTCATGATGACGTAGTAGTTACGTCTTTAGTCAAATTATGTACTAAGTAACCTGATTAAAATAGAAAGACTATATGACAAGGTAATCTGCAGAACGAAAAACAAAAACAATGAAGATCGTATTTCGAACTATTGATGAATTATTTCATAATCAAATTTTACTTCATGAAGAATGAGAATATAAAAGAAAAAAGTATGCAGAGAATAATTTTCAAGTTTTACATAATTTAGAATTAGATTGAATAAATAGTTTAACAATGATTGATAAAAAAATTTAATGAAAACTAGTAGGCAACAAATATGTAATGCTTCAATGAGATTTTTGTAGAATCAGATTAATATAAGAGTGTTGCGAAAACAGTTTATCTCCATATTCTCATGTTTATAGTTTGACTATCACAAAAGCAGATATTATCCAATAATTTATTATTTGAAAGACTGATACAAATATTCAAAACTCATATAAAAACATTCGACTAGACATTATTTTTTATCTGTATGTAAATTATATTTTATCTTCTTATAATATCTTGATTTGTCTATATAGAATATGTCTTCATATATCTATCATAGAAAAGTTCTATAGTGTTTGTTGAAAATATTATTGTCAAATACATTCTACAGCAAGAAAATAAATTAGATCGATTACTTTTCTTAAGAATTAGTTAGAAATAGAAGTGTGAGAACAAGAACAGTTTAAGCTTTTTGTTTCATATTACAAGATGTTATATTCTACAAATCAATAGAAATTCAAACATATCGAATATCTGGATCATTCTCAAAATCCTTTTTCTTGTTGCATAGAACAAATATCAATATGGTGTATGTTTGAACATACAAAAAAAAAAGATTGAAATTTAATATCCTCTTATAACGATATGAATATGCATTGTACTCTAATTTCTACTTACAACTAAATGTTGTTCAATATCTTGACGAATATCAATTACTTGACCATTCTTAATAACATTTTTCGGAAGACGATTAATAAATTGATTCAAAGGAATTTTTGGTCCTAAAAGATATTTTCAATAAATTTTGTTTTAGATTTATTTAATAAATATTTTATATACTTTGATCATTGGATTCTGTTCTTGCACCTTGTGGAATTGGTGGTAGATGATCATTGTTTTGATTATTATGAACTATACGACTATCATGTAAAACATAACCTTCACCTTGAAATGCTTTTTGTTTACGTTCATCAGTAAAATAAATATCACGTTTATCAGACACCTATAAAAATGTAAACTACATCTTTTTTTTTTTTTCTTGAACAAAAATAATGAAAATTTTTTATACATTAAAAGGTACACCATCAGGAAAACGTTTTTGTAATTCCGATGGAAAATATCCATCAAGTATATCACGAATAAATTGTTGAGTTGAAGGTTCTATGAATAAAAATCGAATATTAAAAAAAAACAAAAGAGATATTCTAGAAAAATAATAGTTCTACCAGAAAATGATCGAAAAGGTCCATTAAATAAGAAAATACCATTAGCATAAAGTATTAAATTGATTGATTCAGTACGTTTTAATGTTGAAATACGTCGTTGATTATCAGTATTTTGTGGTTCAAAATGCACTTCATTTTCACCTGCTAATACATTAAGTTCACGAATATTTTCAAGAATAGTATTAAAATCAATTGGTAATATCTTTGGAATTGATTCTTCTATAGAAAAAAAAAAAGTCATTTTTATGAAAATTTAATTCATAGTATGAAACAAAACCTGGTCGCCAAGTAGCCGGTGCAGATAATGTTGGTGTATGTTCTTGTTGTTGTTCAACACGATCAGCTTCATCAAAAGTTAAAATATTTACATTATCAGGTTCATTTAGTTCACCTACAACTTCAAGGCCACGATCAATGAGTAGATCCTACTGAAATTAAGTAGATTTAAATCTGAACAAAAAAAATATTATATCTTTGTTACAGACCTCCATACGATCAATAATTGATTGTAAACGAATACATTTTTTTTCCAAAGTTTCTATTTTATATGATTCATCATGTTGATTATCTATGGTAAATAATTTCTAATAGTATGTTGTGTAATTGAATATATAAATGATTTGTTTAATCTTTATCTTCCGAATTATAGGACTCATACATATCTACTAATTAGACTTCTGCTCAATAGATGATTTTTATAATTATGATTAGTTTTTTTTTTGTTTGCAACTTATAACAAGACTCTTTCTCTTTGACTTATCTTTCTTGAGATATATCATCTTGTAATCAATTTGATTTTCTCGTTAAATGAAGAGAATTTGAGTATGATAGCTGATTCTTTATGATACTATTACTCTCTTTTGATCTAGCTATAGCATGTTATACATTATCAATCGAGAAATTTAATATATTATAAAGCAAATAATAACTTTAATACGTCGTTCTATTTAATACAGAAAGATTATTCAATAATTTCCTAATTGTTACATACGTAATGCTTTTTCATACAGATGAACTTTCTCTTCGAGAACAGCGATACGTTGTGTCTAAAATCCATGAAAAGACTAAATAATTTTGTTTTTTTGTAAAAATGACTATTCTCACTTTATCTTTTAGTTCGCTGGTTAAATAACAAACATCTGACTCAGCTTTTTGCATTCGACTCATAGTCAGTTGAAGAAGATCCAAATCAGTAGGGGCTAGATAAAAAAATTAATGAAAAATAATTATTTATAAACATTTCGTAATAATTTGATGTAACCTCGAATTCGTGAATCATTCATAGTTCTGTTTGTTTTTATATTATCCATAGCCATACGTGATGTAACTTCATTTAATAATTGAGCATCTTCATCTATAAGAAAATCTATATTTATATTTTAAACTTCGATTTATCTTACTTGAATATCGATAACCATTTGATCTTGCTGTTTGAGCAACTGGTGTAGCACTATGAATATACTTTATAGTAAAGAATTGAACGAATAAGCAAAAAAAGAAAATCTCATACTTTTCAGCATTAGCAACATCATTTGATGATGTAATTGGATTTTTTGAAACAGGTAATTTTCGATATTTATTCAAAGACGTAAATGGTGATGACATGACCTTATTTCTACTACAGAAGTTGTTCAATAATTTAGTACTGTCATTAACATAAATCAAAAAAACTATCTCCAAGTGGAAACCATAATAATAATAATAATCATAACAACTGAAAAATAATGCCGAAAGATGTCAGATATGTCCGATTATAAAACCATTTGTAAACATTGAGAATCTTAAAGTTTCTTATCCTTACTTGCTTGCTTGATAGGAAGATTTAGAAGACTGATTACGATAACACACACACACACACAAAATTATGTCTATTCTTTATATTAAATCAATCATTATATCGATATCATATCATAAATTGCAAAAAGAATAATTTGTTTAACTTTTCTTCTTTTAGACAAAAATAACATTGAACACAAGCCGATATGCTATTATGTAGATATCTGCATTTAATGTTTAGAAATGAATGATATTCAATGTTTCAGTTCTTTAAGATTTTAATTCAATGAAAAGTAGTTCAAACCATGAATTTCAAGAATGATTTGTTTTTTCAAGCGTAAAATTCTTCTTGACTACCACAACTTTTTTTGTTCGACATCACCAGGAAATCTACGAAGCGATGCCTGTCATTGTGCATTACTAATGATAGAGAACATACATTGAAAAAACTCATGGAATAGTTAATGAATAATTTTTAGTTATGGCAACAAAACCTTGTTTTCTGTTTATTGATCGTCAAATGTTACAGTATTTTGATTAGTATCAATCGTTCATATCATGGTAACTATTGGAATCCAGCTAATGGTTCGAATTTATGGAATTCTTCTGATGATATCGATATGGCTTCTGATTGTATTGATGGTGATGATAGTGGAGGTATTGGTAAATATTTGAAGTGTATTTTAACTTGTGTGTTTACTGTAAGAGTTGTGTCAGTGATCTGTTTCAATTGCAGAGAAAGTACGGAAAAAGTAATGAAAAAAAGATTCAATCGCATATACTAATGGTTTACGATGTCTCATCAAATAAAGTAAGGTGAAGTAAGTTGTTTTCGATATGTCCATAATATTGATGGCTCACGAATTCACTTTAATACTATCATATCTCATGTGCTGTTCGATCGCGTTATTGGTCGCATATTGATATAATTAGTTATCATATACGCAGAAGAAAAATTTTTTAATAAATAATGTATAGAAATAAAACATTTCTAAGAGTATTTATTGTCTATTGTTCAATCATCGATTATAGTTGAGGTATTATAGAGATTTTATTCAAAATTACCATCTGAATCGGTCAAAATGAGATACATATATTACAAGAAGTATTTTCTTATAGTTGTTTTAAAATTTAATTATAAAATACCATGAAGTAAGATTTATCAATCAGATCTATCTGTTTACTCGATTGTACAGTAGAAAAGATTATGTAAAATATTCAGAAAATTTGAATATCACTTCTTCTGTAATGACATTTTATTATACAACTAATTCATTCAGATCCGCTGTACATAAAAGTCTTTCATCTAATAAGTTTTGGACCGTATAAATAATATATATTTATGATAAGGACTAATATATCTTGTCATTATGAAGTGAAGCGTTAGAATCGTGGGAGAATAGTATTTAATGTAGTTTAAACGATGTGAATACTAGTCTACATACTTTTAAATAGATATCTTGAAGAGTAAATACTTATTCTATTAGATAAATACTTCAAAGAATCGTTTTCTTATCAATAAAATCGACTACGAAAAATAAATATTATGATATCAAACTACAATGTTCTTCTCCAAATAGTAGCTTCTAGGAAGTAGGTCGTATTGAGACGAAGATTTGTTCATATATTGAGATTCGGTAAGCATATATAAAAATGTTTTACCTCTATTGCACTTGCCATTCTGAAGTTATAAAGATGTCTGATGGCAATGAAGAGTTTGCGTGACCCCAATCGTATTTAATTATAGCAAGAAACAAAATCGATTTCTTTTAAATATATATAGTCTGGAGTCATAGAGCGGTACTAGTTTTCATGAACAAAGTGGTAAATTTCGATAATAGAATTATTAATGCCCAAACAGGTACTACAAATCCCAAGTCTTGGGACTCTATATTTTATGATTTTGATTTGATATGCAATAAACCAAAGAAAAATGTAGAGTCTTAGTATCAAAGCCTTGATATTTAGATATGCTCTTCGACAAAAATTAAATAAATAGTTTGCGATGTGATAATGATTAGCAAATGGAAAAAATAATTTTTGTGCATCGGACCTAAAAGTAAATCCATATCCAAATCTACTTTGGATTTGTTACACTCTGATCTTTATTTAGCAAAGTTTTGAGGCAAATATTTTTCCAAAAAAATGAGAATCTACTAATAATATTTATCTACGCCTTTTGTCAATTATTATTATAGAGATGTTCTGATTTCAACTAATGTCTATTTATGTTGATAGATTTGTAAATGAATTATTTGTTTTAGAATTTTAGTTCCTAGTTGAATATTTACTTCAATTTTAAGTAAATCTATTGTGCTTAAGTGCAATGTAACAAATTTCTCTTGTTGTATGATATATTTTTATTTGTTCATACTCGAATATAAATAAACGAGATGAGATACACACACAACATAGTCTAACTTGAATGAAAGTAAGAAAAAATCAAGAACAAATGTGTTTAGTGCTGTTGTTGTTTTCATAATTCTATTCCAAGTCTGGTTCAGTGATAGTTGCACCACTGAAAGCTGATGAAGATGTACCAAACATTGACTAAAATAGAAAAATTAGAAAATATATATTTTTTTTTTTAAACAAATAATTTATATACTGGAGAAATTCGTGGTAAACGCATAATGATTTCTTGAAATAACTCAGGTGGTAATGTTTGTTGAAATAATGACATCAGACTTTGAGGTTGACTACAAACTGCTATAGCTTTTGCTAGATGATCAACACCATTATCAAGATCACCTATACATATGATTTTTTTTGTTAAGGAGAGAAAAAATTTCAAAAATGCTAATAGAAAAAAAAAACACATAAATACATACCACGAGATAAGCAATCTTCACCTTGTTGAATTTGTTCGAGAAAATAACGACGCATTTCTTCAGGATCATTTGAATTAATCTATTATAAATCATTCTATTATCTTTATCTTAGGTAAAACAAAAATGTTTACGTTGAATTTTTCGTTTGAACCACCAGTACCTTGTTTTTGTTTCTTTCGTTCTAAATAAATATTAATTATTTTTATACAACATATTTATTTATTTCATTTTGATATCTTAGTTAATACACAAAAATTAATAATACTAACTAGCTTTTAATTTTTCACGAAATTCAGGTGCACTTCTGCGTTTCCGGTCGAAATAAACACAGTAACCAAGAAAACCAACACCAAGACTAACTGCTGCTACAAGAGGCCAAAATGCTTTGCTGTTCGGATTCATCTGAAACAAGAATATATATTGTATGATGATATAACGATTTATATTAATATGTAGATGAAAGAAAAAAGACATTGATGAATAGATAAAATATTAACATTCATCATTTTATGATATACACGTATATAATCCATATTTTTTTCTAATGAAATATCGTTCCGAATATTTATGTTTGGTGTTATTGAAAAGCAAGAAATATTTTATAAACTTTTCAATAGTCAAATAATCGATTATTCTATGTCTAATCAATTTATTCTTTATTTTCAGTTAGATTTTAATTTTGAAATAGTAACATCTATTTCTGATAGTTGTTTTAAAGTAAAGGCATATTAATAGACAAAATAAAATTCGTCTTTCGTCGACCTATTATTTTCACAATCCTGATTGTTTCTTTTTTGTTACGAACTCATCCAATCGAAAACAATTCAGTATCGTTTCTGATAAACTATATCGTTTTACTAGATAAACGATAATCGAACAATCAAAAAAAAAGTTCAATGCTTCATAATGAACAAAAAATACTTTAGTTTTTATTTCAACTTATTTACTTAAAATATAATCATGAATTATCAATAAATAGTACAATAAATACTAGAATCACTAAGTAACATGATCATATATAATTATTTAGTTTTCAATAGATTGAACATGTTAAATTTCACATGTTTTTGTTCTAGATGTAAATCTTTCAAATCTAATTGATTTTCTTCTTTGAAAAAGAACTAAACAAAAATTTTTAATTATTCTTTAAGTAATAGAAAGATTACTAGATTAAAATTATGAACTGTTTCACCAGTTATTTCATCAGAATAGTAATGATTCATAGCAGTACAACGTGTCGTCGAGGTAAAAGAGTTGCACAATCGACAGCTGACTCAATCGTTGACACGTTTGATTCTTATTACAACTACATCAACGTGGCAATACATTAAATTTCTTTAAATACGGATCGTTCATCATGAATTTCTTTCAAAAATAATATTCCATCGATCTCATCTATTAGATAACAATTAATCATGGGTGTTTTTCTTAGTCGAATATATGATGCTTTAGCTGCATTCGGAACAGATAAACCTGTCCGAATTTTAATGCTTGGTCTCGATGCAGCTGGTAAAACAACAATTCTCTATAAAGTGAAACTCAATGAAAATATTCAAACGATTCCTACTATTGGTATATATTAACAAGTATACAAAATATTTTTTGTATTGTTTTTTTAATGCATTCTAGGTTTTAATGTTGAAACAGTTAGTCCATGTCGTGGTGTATCATTTACTGTATGGGATGTATGTATTCGTTTATCAAATCTATATTCAATCTAGTCTAAATATCTTTTCTTTTTAAGGTTGGTGGTCAAGAAAAAATCCGTGGTCTTTGGCATCATTACTATCAAGGAACAGAAGGTCTTATATTCGTTGTTGATAGCAATGATCCAGAACGTATACAAGAAGCACGAGAACACCTTCAAGGTATTCTCAAAGTTCCTGACATGTCAAATGTACCTATTGTTATTATTGCTAATAAACAAGATCTACCTAGTAAGTTCTATTATTTTTCTTTCGTTCTTTTTCAAAAAAGAAAACTTTCTCTCTAATAGATGCGATGAAACCAGCTGAAATCATTCATAAATTAGGTATGAATGAGCTTCACGGTAAACACAAATGGTATGTTCAATCTGCCTGTGCTATTACGGGTGATGGTCTCACTGATGCCATGCTTGAAATGGCTAATCTCGTTAAACAGTATCGCAAAGAAAACAAATAAAATATGTATTTGTATATTTGTATTTTGTTTTTGTTTTTTTTTATGTTAATAATAAGATAAGAATCGTACAAAAAAATATATCACATTAATATGTTGTTTTTTTTTTAATTGCATATAACAAATAAGTGAACAAAATAAGAATTCTTATTTAACAATATCACTGAATAACAAAAGAATCAGATCAATATAATGTTGTTGAATCATTATTAATTTTTTGTTTGGAGCATTAATGCTTTTGGATTCATAAAACTAAAATTTGGTACTGAATCAACAATAGGTTTAGTATCATCATTTAATACTCTTGTTGAACCTGGAAATAGATCAATTGTTTTAATTGGTGTTGTATGTTGATGAATAACTGGACTATTATTTCGATGTACTATCGTTGAAGAAGTAATATGTTCGTCTTTATTCAATGTTAAAGTTTGTATTGGTGGAATATAATAATCAAGATCGAGTGTTTTGTTTACATCGAAAACTTAAAAAAGAAAAATATTTAACTAATTAAAATAATTCATATACATATATATGTATGTGCATTTTTTTAACAAACAGTTACTGTATGATTAGATTGGTTACACTTAACTTACCATTTTCCTCAATCTGATTGAAATTTATTGAAAGAGATGAACTATGGTTATCTATGTAGGAATAATTAATTATCTGCATTCTTTTATCTATGTTCTATCATAGAATTTAATATTAGATTCTTACCAGTAAGTGGATTTTCTAGACCACTTTGTTTCCAATCAAAATGTGGATTAATAGTTTGTGATAATAACTAGTCAAAAAAAAAAGAATTTTTTTATATGTGATTATATTCATCAAAATAAAATTACTCTATTTTCATTATTAACATTTGAAGTTATTATTTGAGATTCTGATTGAGAAGTTTCCGAAGTTACAGGAATAGTTTTAGTCTAGAATTTATTCATTTTTCTTTTTGCAATATTATGCATAATTGTTATTCAAAACATACACGAAATCGTTCATGAACACCTAATGCTTGATGAAATGTATGTTCAATATTTGATTTACGCCATTGATATTGAATTCCTATTGGGTCATTTGATATATTTGATAATAATTTCCATAAACTAGATATATATATATATAAAGAATTAATTTTAGAGATAAATTAAAATGAATACTTACGATAGACTATGTTTAAAACATGGTAATTGCTTAATTTGATCTTTACATGTAGTAAAAGATGGTAATTCAAAAGAAATATATTTATCACTATTTGTAGATAATGTCGAAGATTCTAATGGAAAACAAGTTGAGATTAAAGATTCAATTGATTCAATATTTAAAGAATTCTAAATTAAAGATCATTCAATAACTTAATATTCATTATGAAATGAACTTACAATTGGTATAGCAGATCCTTGAAATTGTTGAGAGATTTGTACTTCACCGTAATCACCAAAAGCATCATCATCAGGATTTATTTTTGTTGATTGTTTGTTACTAGATAATTCTATATCGTGTCGAGTAGATTGTATTGGATGTGATTCAAAATTTGCCCAATCATCTTCATCTATATTCGATGTTGTTACAGGAACGATCTAAAATATTATTCAATTAGTTGATATCCGTATTATGAACTATTTTAAATCAAATCACGGAAGAAAAAAAACGCGAACTTGTCCTCATTATTGATTAGTAATAGTAGAGAAATACAAATCGGTCAAAAATAACAGAATCTCCCAACGGAACATCATTAAATTGTATCACAAGGTTTAAAATATAGTGCTTATTATAAAAGCATTGAGTTTAGATAAAAATAGTGATATATATTTAGACCTATTAGAATTTTCTTTTTTTTATTATTCAAGAGAAACAAATAAATTACTATTACAAATTTATAAAATCATTGAAGAGATGTCATCTGTAAGTATCTACTTCTTCTTAAAGAGATTAATTTTATACAACAGACACAGTAAATACACTAAACAATTATATGCGGAATGTCTTATCGTAGAACAACACTTCAAATTATACCAGTAATTCTATCATTGTTCTTGTATGTTCAAAAATAGTCTAGATTATTGTTATTTTTTTTTTCTCGTATTTCATATTTATACAAAACAAAAGTAATGATTATGACCTTTTCTACAGAAATTGTCCCAAATGCACTTATAGTACAAAAAGATAGTAATAATAAACTGACTCCAGGTCACCGGTTACGAAGTTTTCAAATTCGAGTGCAACTCGCGATAGACTCTAAAGCTGTCTGGAAAAATAGCGATTCAAATTTTTCTCTTTTATCAACAAGTCATTTTTTTGTCTATAAAACTCTTTCGTATAATAATTTTTTCATGTTAAATCAAACTTTTGAGAAAAGTAAGAAATAAGTGAAAAAAAAAGTACTTATATAGAATACTACTTTAGTGTCAATTTTGTTTCTGGATTGAAATCGATCAATTTTAAACTGCAAAATACTTTGTAATGGTTCACTTACAAAGTGCGCAATTTACTTTTCGATTTTATCTTTCCTAATAGATTTGTAAATCGTTTTTTTAATTTTTTACCAGTAGTTTTTCAAAAAATAATGTTGTTGTTTTTTTTTTACCAATATCGATTTTAATAGAAACTCTTTCCTTAGTAGAAACGCATGAATCGAATTTCACTTATCCGTAATATTTCATTTTATACAGAATTCAATGAAATTGTTCTAGACTACACACTAAAGATCGTACTATTTTACTTGCGGTAGAAATACAGTGTTAAACTTTTTCATAAAATTGAATGATAGTTGTTTAGTTTTACTTGAGAAAGAAAATCTGAGTATATCGTCAGAAATCGTGAAAAACTCTGATTCTAACCAGATGTATTTTGGCAGCCGAATATTTTATGCTAACGAGGGAACATTTTCAGGTGCTAAAAAGCTTTCCAACCGGGGATGTGATAACTAGATAGGACATAGCTAGCAGTGATACACCCTAAGTTAGTTCGCGCCCAAGTTGAGATTTGGCTGAGATATCGACTTTT